GCATACTCACTTGTGTCATATTAACAGTAAATATGTGGAAATCATAAGTAGTTTAGGATTAATTGCTAAAGTGCAAAAAAAAAAAATTGTGAATATATGAAGTTTGCAGTAAAGCAAAAAATTACTAAGAGGCCTCATAAAAGTGTTGAGAAAAAAATACCGAATTGCTAGAATTATTTCATACTGATTTGTGTGAATTTGAAAGAATTTAACTCGGAGTGGTAACCGATATTTTATCACTTTTATTGATATTTTTCAAAATACACAAACATATATTTATTAAAAAATAAAAGTGATGCTTTTGAGAAATTTAAAGAATTCCTTCTCAAAATGAAAAATCAATTTGGTAAAAAAATTAAGAGAATTAGAAGTGATAGAGGCTGGGAGTATGAATCTCTTGGATTCAACTCTTTTGTTCAGTCATTGGGAATTATGTTGGAAAAAATGATTTTTGGAGACTTTAATTTAATATTAAAGTGTAATGACTTTAATTAAATATTAAAGTGGGTCTTAACTATTTTTTGTGTTAGGTCCAAGTGAGCCAAAAACCATTGGGTTTTAAATAAGAAATTGCCAAGAAATTGCTTTATGATGTTAGATTCATGAATAGGTTTTTAAAGAGTATTTAAATCCTTTTTCTTGGCTAAAGGGTGTGAATCCTTTGGGCATCCATACTTTTCTTTTTGTGAAAAGGGGCTATGGATGCTTGGTGTTTTAATGACTAGCCTTAAAGGCTGGAGGCTTTGCCTCTCTCCCCTATACATGTATAAATTGAGACCCTCCTGCCAAGTTTCAATATAGAAATTTTTGCTTCCATTTTACAAGTCAGTTTGCTTGATAGTTCCTATTGTGAGAGAGTGCTGCCATTGTTTTGTTCGCTAAGCTAGACAGATAGTGCTTCTGCCGTAGCTGGTTTTGACCGTCGTATCCTGGGAGACAGACGCCGGGTTTCCTTAAGCACTCGACCCGTGAAGCGGCGAAATCTATTTTAAGGAAACTGCTTCCGTACAGGCTTCGGTTTTGTCTCTTTACCCTTTATTGTTTTTTGTGTATTTCTATTGAAATTTAGTTGTAATTATCAGCACATGTTCTTGGAATATAATTTGTTTTCTTCATAAATCTATTTATTTAATTTCACAATTTTGAACAACAAATTATTCATGACACTACTCCATCATATTCACCTTTATCTAATGGCGTAGCTGAAAGAAAAAATAGAACGTTAATTGACTTGACGAATGCTATACTTATTGATTTAGGTGCTTCCTCAAATCTTTGGGCGCGAGACTATTTTGACAGCTTGCCATGTGATAAATAGAGTGCCACACAAAAAGACTAAAATTATACTTTATGAGTTGTGGCGGAGGCATAAACCAAATCTAGGTTATTTGAAGGTTTGGGGTTATTTAACTTTTGTGAGGTTTGCTGATCCTAAATGACCTAAATTGGATGAACGAGTTACCCCTTGTGGTTTTCTTGGATATGAGTTGCATAGTACAACTTTTAGATTTTTTTATATGAAAAATAATATTATTTTTTAATCAAGTGATGCAATTTTTCATGAAAATAAATTTCCTTTCAAATCTAAAAATAGTGGGGGTCAAATAATTTTTGAAAATATTTTATCCATGCCTAATTCTTCTACTCCATCTCAAGTTTTTCAAGAACAAGAAAATTCTCAAATCCAACCAAGGAGGAATAAATGAGCTAGAGTTGAAAATGATTTTAGCCCTGCCTGTTGTCTTTACAATATGGAAGAAATTCCTCTTACGGTGCAAAAAGCTTTATCATCACCTGATGTTATTTTTTGAGGAGAGGCTGTAAATGATGAGATAGATTCACTACTTTCAAATGAAACATGCAAGCTAGTGGATTTACCTCCAGGTTGTAAAACTATTGGGTGTAAATGGGTCTTTCGTAAAAAACTTAAACCGGATGGAAGTATAGATAAATATAAAGTGGGACTTGTCACTAAAGGTTTTAAGTAACAAGTTGATCTTGATTTCTTTGATACTTTTTCTTCAGTTACTAGAATTACATCCATTAGACTGTTGATAGCAGTGGTTGCAATTCATGATTTAAAAATTCATCAAATGGATGTAAAAACAACATTTTTAAATGAAGATCTAGATGAGAAGATTTACATGGACCAACCCGAGGGCTTTGTAGAGCCTGGCCAAGAAAGCAAGGTGTGCAAGCTAATTAAATCCCTTTATGGTTTAAAACAAGCTCCTAAATAGTGGCATGAGAAATTTAATTCCTGCATACTTGAGAATAGCTATAAGACTACAGAATGTGATAAGTGCATATATTATAAAACTTGTGAGAATACACGTGTGATTATTAGCCTATATGTGGATGATCTACTTATCTTTTACTCTAATTTGCATATTATAAATAAGACTAAATATATGCTTAATAGCCACTTTGATATAAAAAGATCTTGGTGAAACCATTTTATTTTGGGAATTAAAATTACCAAGACTAAGGATGGCGTTTTTTTTGATCAGTCGCATTATGTTGAGAAAATTTTAAAGAAATATAACTTTCTAAACTGTAAACATGTTGCTACTCCTTTTGATGCAAACATACATTTATCTGTTGTAACAAATGAAAAAGAAGTGATTAATCAAAAGGAATATGCTAGCATGATTGGTTGTTTGAGATATGCTACTGACTGTACTAGACCTGACATTGCATATGCTGTTGGAGTACTTAGCATGTTTACTAGCAAACTAAGTCGAGATCATTGGCTAGCCATGGAAAGAATTATGAGATATTTATTTGGTACCAAAAATTATGGTTTGTTTTATAACAAGTATCTTGCGATACTTGAGGGATATAATGATATCGATTGGAACACTTTGTCAGGTGATTCTCTCTCTACCTCGGGTTTTATTTTTACCTTAGGTGGTGGTGCTATATGTTGGAAGTCTAAAAAACATACTATAATTGTTAATTCTACTATAGAAGCTGAGCTTATAGCGTTAGCTTCACCATGTGAGAAAGCAAATTAGTTGAGAGATTTGTTACATGAAATCCCTTTTTGGGAAGAATCAATTCCTCCTATGTTAACTCGTTGTGATAGCATTGCTGTTATTGGTAGAGTGAATAACCATTTTTATGATGGTAAATCCAGACCTATTCGAAGGAAACACAATAATGTGAGATCCTATTTGAGTAGTGGCATTATAACTGTGAATTATGTAAGATTTTGTGATAATTTTGCGGATCCGTTAACCAAGGCTTTGGCCAGAGATAGGGTTTGGAATACATTGAGGGGAATGGGTTTGAAGTCTATAAAATCATAAACCATGCATGAGTATACCCAACTTGGGGACTAGAGATCCTATAACTAGGTTCAATGCGAAGAACGAACATATGGTTGTTGTAAAAAAATGCACTCTTTAATATTTTGTTATCCATCCCTATAATGTAAGTGCATTTGTCTTATAATGTTGGAGGGTTAAGTTTTTATACTCTTAATGAAATTCTGTAGCTTTTGTTGAGTAGAGTGTGTAAATTACTAGAACATCCTTGACAAATTTCACCTATGTGAGCATGAAAGTGGGGTCGTTTTCTATGAGAATAAGGCTTATTCTCAAATATACTCATGAAAAACTGGGATTAGCACAAGGCCATAATGTGCTGGCTATTAAAAGCTCATGTCAATACCTAGATTATTATGTGTGAGCAGTAATACTTTATTTTCCCTAAGTAGTCATAGTTCAAGTTTGAGAACACTACTAACTCTGGAGTAAAAGTTATTGTTTCACTAATGAAGGTTCAATGTAGAGCACACCTTCATGATGCATACTAGTCTATCTTTGTTTGGTAATCTCTCTTGCCTTTGTTGATATTAAAATGAGTGGGGGATTGTTGGACCATTCAATATCGTTTATTTATTTATTTATATATATTTTGTTCATGAATATTCTTTTATCTTGTTCATGAATCTCATCTTGTTCATGAATGGAGATTCATTGTTTTGGTGTTTTTTTGTCTTGTTTATGAATGAAGATTATTTGGAGTTCATGAACTTGGTGGTGAGTTAATATTTGGAGACTCTCCATTTTTTCTAGTTTAATGGTCATTATTATTTTTGATGTAAATTGTAAGGTCCTAGTAGCCTATAAATAGTTCATTTCATCTATGCTTTTCTACACCAACTATTGTTTATACTTGAGAGATTACTAGCAAAGAAGAGTGTTTTTCTTGGTGGAGTTTTGGGTTCATCATCTTGTACAGAGTTGACCTAAACCATACGACAAGTGGTCGAGTTGTTGTATCCTAGAGGGGACAAGCCATAGTTTTGTGACTGTTGCATCGGTATTTGGGTTCTTCCTACTGCAATGGGTTTGATCTTTTTAAAGAAAATGAGTTATCCATGTCTCAGCCTAATCTATTTGTATCTTATTTTATTTGTATTATTTATCAATAAAATATAATTCTTCTGGTATTTTCACCAACATAATTTTTTGAGATAAATATAATAAATTAAAGATGTGACAATCATCGAATCAACCTAACTTTTTGTGTGATTAATATACACAAAGAGCCTTAAAAAATGAGCAATTCAGATTATCAAAATAGAATTCGTAGTGAATCCCACGTACTCAGACAGTTCTAAATTGGAGGAAATCTTCTCCCATAATGAAAAATGGTAGAGACTATAAAATTTAATCCTGAAAATTATGCAAAAATAATATGAATAGTATAAATTTAAAATTGCTGAGATGTCAATCATATTTAGAATAATTATAATCCTTGTATTTTTGGAATATGTATTTTTTAAAATTTATAATATTGTTATTGTCTAAACAAAACAAATGAGGATTAAGACATGTTGAGAGAGAAACAAGAGAGAAAAACTATGACCCCCGGGTTCTTTTAATATTAATTTTGTGAAGAAGACGTTTTGGGCAAAGTGCGTCTAAGTTCTCTTCATGTAACCAAGTGGGTCCCCCCGTCCTTTACACCTCACTTTCTCTCTCTAAAAACCTCTCTTCCCTCTCTCTTTCTGCTCTTTGTTTCCAGTCTTTTTATCAAACAACGGCGCGGTTCTCTCACGATACGGACACACACAACACTTTCTTTCTGTCTTTCTCTGGCAAAGACTCGCACACCCTCGCTCAAAACCTGTGTTTGAAATTTGATACAGACGGAGACAAAATAGAGAAGGAAAGGCAATGAAAAACTGGTATGAACATTTGATTTTTTCTTGACTTCACCACATATCCATAATATATTCAGCTCAAGGACCCAGTTGTGTTCATAGCTGTTGATTGATATAAATGGACGGTGAGAGATTTGGGGGTGTGAGAATTTTTTTATAGTAGATTTGGATACGAGGGTGATGTTGATATCGGAATGTTTACATGTATATTTATTTTATATGTATGTGTATTTATGTGTGCATGTGAATGAGAGATAAGATCCGAAAGATGCTGGTTGGGAATCTGGGTTTTTGTCACCGACGACGATGAGGTGGTTTCTTCAAGCACGCCTCCTACTTTTCCTGCATTTCTTGTTTTTGGATTTCTTCAAGGCTCAAGGTTCGTGGGTTTTCAATTTTGCTTGTTAAATTCTTAATTTTTATGTTTTTCGGTGTATCTGTGTTGTTTATATATATTGAGTCTTGGTAGCTTTGAAATTTTGCTACTTTTTAGGTTGAGTGAATTTCGTGTTCTCTTCATTAATGTTGTTTTGTTCAAACCAATGGAAAATAAAAAATAATACTTGTCTGAAATTTTGAACCAAAATATTTTTATTTATTTATTTATTATTTGTTTGCTTGAGCCAGTTGGAATGGTAGATCCTTTATGGCATGAGTTTGATAATGGTAGGTATAATATTATTGCAAGTGGGTGTTGTGCAAAATGCTTTCTATATTTGTATAGGAAAAAAGGGGTTTCTAGTCAATCTATTTCTTTAATTTGAAATGGGTTTTTGATTTTGTTGAACTTTGTTGTACAGGGGATGAGTGTTGGAAATTTGGGTTCTGAGTTTTTAATTCAAGAGGGTTCTCTATCTTGACCTTTAATTCGATCTTGGGGTATAAAAAGATTCATAATTTATCTGTAAATGGATTGAAGAAACAGTCCATTGGATGCAATGTTAAAGGCATTAGCATCTGGACTGTTAATTTCACTGTTCCTCTTTTCCATTACTGCTGCTTATAATGGTTTACCCCAATGTGATTGCAATGAGGAAGGGTTTTGGAGCACTGAAACCATTTTGGAATGTCAAAAAGTGAGTGACTTCTTGATTGCAGTTGCTTATTTTTCTATCCCAATCGAGCTTCTTTACTTCATTAGCTGCTCGAACGTTCCGTTCAAATGGGTACTCTTCGAATTCATTGCCTTCATTGTTCTATGTGGAATGACCCATTTCCTCAATGGTTGGACTTATGGTCCGCACCCGTTTCAGCTAATGCTAGCTCTCACCATTTTCAAGTTCCTCACCGCTTTAGTCTCTTTCGCCACCGCTATAACACTTATCACTCTCATCCCTTTGCTTCTCAAAGTGAAGGTGAGAGAATTCATGCTGAAGAAGAAAACTTGGGATCTTGGTAGAGAGGTTGGGATCATAAAGCAGCAAAAGGAAGCCGGGTGGCATGTTCGGATGCTTACCCAAGAGATCCGCAAATCGCTTGATCGGCATACGATTTTGTACACAACTCTGGTAGAGCTATCTAAGACACTAGATTTGGAGAATTGTGCTGTTTGGATGCCTAATGAGAATAAAACAGAGATGAACTTGACCCATGAATTGAAAGGCAAGAATGCTTCGAACGGGTTTAATGGTTCTATCCTGATTTCTGACCCAGATATTAGAGAGATAAAGGCAAGTGATGAAGTAAAGATACTTGGACCTGACTCAGTACTTGCTGCTACAAGTGGTGGAGGGTATGTCGAGCCTGGAGATGTGGCTGCTATTAGGATGCCAATGCTGAGAGTTTCTAACTTCAAAGGCGGGACTCCTGAGATAATTCAAACGTGTTATGCTATACTCGTTTTGGTTCTTCCTGGTGGGCAAGGTAGATTGTGGAGCAATCAAGAACTTGAGATAGTAAAAGTGGTTGCTGATCAAGTTGCTGTGGCTCTCTCTCATGCTGCAGTACTTGAAGAGTCTCAGCTTATGAGGGAGCAATTAGCAGAGCAAAACCGAGCCTTGCAACAGGCGAAGCAGAGCGCAATGATGGCAAGCCAGGCTAGGAACTCATTTCAGAAGGTAATGAGTGACGGGATGAGGAGACCGATGCATTCAATTATGGGTTTGCTTTCAATGATGCAGGATGAGAACTTGAGTGGCCAGCAACAGATTCTTGTTGATGCAATGGTTAAGACCAGCAATGTCCTCTCAACCCTGATAAATGATGTAATGGAGATTTCGACCAAGGATACAGGAAGGTTCCCATTAGAGATGAGGTCTTTTCGGCTACATTCGACAATAAAAGAAGCTTCTTGCCTTGCCAAGTGCTTGTCCGTCTATGAGGGCTATAATTTCGTGGTTGAGGTTGAAAAGACTTTGCCAGATCATGTTATGGGAGATGAGGGGAGAGTTTTTCAAGTGATTTTGCATATGGTTGGGAATCTTTTGAATGGAAAAAATGGAGGTGGGTGTGTAACATTTCGGGTTTGGTCGGAGAGTGGAAGTCAGGGAAGGAATGATCAAAGATGGGCAGCATGGAGACCGAGCTCATCTGATGGGCATGTTTATGTCAAGTTTGAAATTGGGATTAACAATAATAGTTCTCAATTGGAGGGCTCAATGCCAAGAGTACAGTCTGGTGGGCGGAGGTACAGCAGCAAGGGAGTTGAGGAAGGCTTGAGCTTCAGCGTGTGCAAAAAGCTTGTACAGGTGAGAAAGATTTGTGTGTGTGTGAATCTTTCTTATGAACAATATATGACTCATATCAGCATAACTATATATTTTTTCGAACTTCATTTTTCATTAAATGTTTTTCCTATGTCCTTGTGAAGAAGTCACGTAGTATCTCTAGAACATAGAAAAATGGATAACATGCTCATAAGACTAAACATGTTATTCTAGACTCACAAATTAACAAAGTATTTACAGGCAACACCCTGGCCTATTTCTACGGATGAATTTGGATAGCGCATGTGATCAAAGTGTTTTGTTTTATTGCTATATTGATTTGCTAAACATGTGTTAATGCTAGTAAAATTTGTGTTGGGCACATTTGTTATGACAATCAATATCTCCTCCAATTGCAATTTCCGGGAGCTTCAAGAAACAGTGTTCTCAAATAGGAAGCTTCACTTTACGGATCATTGGAAAATTTAATTTGGAACGTCAAGAATGCAATAATATATAAGATACTATACGAATACGTCTTTCCTTGTTTGACTAGAACTTCTCTTTTCATCTCTAACTTTCATTTTCAATATGGCAGTTGATGCAAGGCAACATATGGGTAGTCCCAAACCCGGAGGGATTTGATCAAAGCATGGCACTTGTTCTTCGGTTTCAACTCTGGCCCTCTGTAGTAATAGGCATCTCTGAAGCCGGAGATTCCTCCGAACATCCACACTCCAACTCTATTTTCAGGGGCCTCCAAGTTCTGTTAGCCGATGATGATGATGTGAACAGGGCAGTGACACGGAAGCTGCTTCAGAAACTCGGGTGCACTGTTTCCACCGTTGCAACTGGATTTGAGTGCCTCAGTTCTCTTGGCTCGGCTGTCTCTTCGTTCCAAATTGTACTTTTGGATCTTCACATGCCCGACTTGGATGGGTTCGAAATTGCTAGCCGAATTCGGAAATTTCGAAGTCGCAGCTGGCCTTTGATCATTGCCTTGACAGCAAGTGGCGATGAAGATGTGTGGGAAAGATGCTTGCAGATTGGGATAAATGGAGTTATTAGAAAACCTGTACTTTTACAGGGAATTGTAGATGAACTTCAAAGAGTCCTGGTGCAGGCAAACAAAATTGTGTGATGATGGGAGTGAAGTTTACTGAATTGCGCAGAAGCGACATTTGAACGATTCTGGGGACCTTGATAAAGAATAGAATAGCATAGTTGCCATGGTCAGCGCACCCTTGCTTCGCCAAAATTTCAGCATAGCAATGTTATGCATCATTCATAGTAAAAATGGTATACAAAATTTGGCGACTTTCTCTTCCCTTTTTAGTTGTCTAAGCTTTGTTATAAATTGAGTAGCTAGTTTAATATTTAATCACAATAATTGGTATCATTATTAACATACCATTCTAATAGAAAGGACCATGAAATCAACACTTTACAAACTTAACTGAAAGGTGTTTTTTTTGGACACAAGGTAGAACAGTTATGCTTTAGTGGAGGCCCAAATTTATTATTGAATTCTTACCTTTGAGGAACATTTGAAAGAGAAATACTTTATACATAGGTGTAAATTATTGTCAAAGCTTTTATAAATAAATCCACTTGTCACTTGTGTGTATGTGAAAGTGCATTTTATGCAACTTCATCTCTCTAGATGCAGTTGAAGCAGCACATAATGCATCTTTTGGAATTTATTATTATTATTCTTTTTTTTTTGTACATCATGGAATAGTTATCATCAAATCTAACCATCTAACCTCAAGGGAGGGGAGCTGGGACTCGAAACCCTGAATTTATGAGCCGCTCATCAAGTTCTTAATTGCTGAATGACACCATTGGCTTCCCCCCCCCCCCCCCCCCCCGGGGGGCAATTTTGCTGTTGTTTTTCCAGAAGGGTTCATGGTATTAATCCACCTTATTTTGGCAAGCATGTAACCCAGTATCAACATTCTAAATTTGAGCTGATTGTTTCTATTTTTTATGTGATTCACAGTCAAATTTAGTGTCCAGCTCCTCATTATAGAATTTTAGGCTATGTTTAGATCTTTAAATTTGTGAAGGTAAAAAAATTGAAAGAGGAGAAATGAAGTAGAAGCACAATACAGAAAATGTGTTGTGATGATAAACACAACAGGAAAAGAAGTTGTTGCTCAGCTGCTTTATGCAAAAATGCAGAACATGTGTATCATGATAAACACTCAAAATATTGGTGTTATGGTGATAATGGAAGCTACTATTGCACTATTATTGAAGTTGTTTTTGTTTTTGTTTTGGTGAACAACGGGCCGCACTATTATTGAAGTTGTTGATCGTGTTTAGGATGGCATAGTGTTGATTAGACTAGACTTCTTCATGTGGGTGTTATTAAGACATTTGTCCAATCCATTAGAGTCATAATGTCATATTATTATCCTTTGTGTCTTATATATCTCATCTCTGTTCAATGCGAATGATTTCAAAGTGGCAATTAGTTTGACAATGGAAATGCTCGAAGCGGTTGTTGCAGGGTCATTTCTCTCTGATGATCTTCATCTAGGTCATGATTTGCAAGAGGATCAAAATGCGAATTATGCTCTTGGTTGGAGACTTGGTGGGAAGTGCTTTTCGATGAATTTTGCCTCGGGTTCAGATCTTTTTCAAGTTTAATCTTAAAGCAGGTTTTTGGCAACTTGGAATTCGTTGTTGTGATAGATTTAGTAGTTTCATTGGGTTTTTTAAATGTATGATTAGGAATCTTATTGATTGCTTTCATTTTATTGAACATATTTGGTTGGGATGGCTCTTTGGGATCTTGTTTATGTGCTCTTATTGTTTATAAATATAATGTTTTTCATGTTCTCAAAAAAAAAAAAAAAAAAAAAAAAAAAATAATAGTAATAATAAATAAATATTACCATCAATATGAGAGAAATAAGAATGAGAAAGTTACATCACACATTGATAAGACATGCTCCGTTCTTGATCTTCTTGATTATTATTTACCATAGAAATAGGAGTTTGTATCTCACTCTCTCATCTCTTTGTCGCACTTTCTCTCATCTTTCTGTTCTAAATTTCTTCTTTATTACAAAATCAATATTTGATTTCAGTTTTTTAGAAATTGAGTTTTTATTTTTTTTATTTTTCGTATTTTTTTTGTTTTCAGTTAATATTTTTATAATTTTAAGTAATTTTTTTTTTAAGGTGCACTTTACTTATATGCATCTAAATAGTAAAATATTTGTGAAAAAAGTATTTTTAAAAATTAAGAAATACACAAAAATATAAAAAATGGACTGGATTTTTTATTTTTTATTTTTTGTATTTTTAGTGTTTAGTTAATTTTTTTAAAAATTTTTTCACAAAAATTATATTTTTAAGTGTATTTATATTAGGTGAGTCTAAAAATTAAAAAAATTACTTAAAATATTAAAAAAAATCAATGACAGCAAAAAAAAAACGAAAAATAAAAAAGTAGAATTTTTTGAAAAGTGAATTCTGAAAACTAAAACCAGAGTAATATATTCTCAACCAACACAACATAGGATCATTTGTCCCACTCTCTCTTTTTTCTGTTGATTCTTCTTTCTCTTGTCATTTTGGGGTATTTTGAAAAGTGGATTAAAAGTCACTTCTCAACTTTTAATCAACTTCTCTCTCACAAAAAATTAAAGAAAGTCAAAAAATTGTCTCATTTTTTTTTTCAACCACAAGATGAGAGTGAGAAATCTCAGAGTGGGATAGAGAATCCTCCACATTTTCATACCATTCAAACAGGAACAGCCCACTGAGTGTGATCTAGAAGCACGTGCCTCCAGAACTAGGAGGTGTGTGGCTGTGTCTTAACTCTGCGTATAGATTGGGTAGGCAGTGGAGAGTGGGGTGGGGGTTTGGAAGGTGTAATGGGTCAAAGAAGAAGAGAATGTGTTAATAAAAACATGAAATGAAACCATGCATGAGCTTTCGGGTACGTATATGGACACTATGGACTTGTTTTCAATAGCAACCCCCCATGTGGCCCCTTCCATTCCCCTCTTTATCTCCAACCATAATAAAACCCCACCCACCAAAGTTGTCTTTGCTATTTAAGTTTAGTTTGGTTTTAGATTTTTAGCTAAAAAAACATAAAATGATAAAATGGACTACATATGTTAATAAGACAAAATATCACATCCAAACTATAATTATTACACTTTTTCTCTCACAAAAATTAAAAAAATCAAAAAAATTAAACCAAATGAGATAAAAAAAGTTAGGCTAAAAAAATTCCAATTCAAAACAGCCAGTTAAAAAAAACCAATGCTAAACAAAGACTTAATTGTTTTATGCTCCCCCACACAAATGGAAGATGGTTTGTTATTCCATGAAATTGGTCAAATGTTGCATATTAAATTATAAAAAGAAAAAAGAAAAAAGAAACAAGGTACCCACAATGGAATTTACTAAAGTAAAAATAATGATGAGACTAGCAAACGTGAATATTTTTGATGAGTTCCTCAGGATTATGATCATCTATCATAAATCCCTCTGAATTGATTTTGTTGTGATAAACACTATAAAGTAGGCAAATAAGAGAAAATTTAAGCCGTCATCGATAACCTTATTTATAGTTTAAATAGAAAAATCATCATAATATTAATTATGAGTATTATTATTTAGACTTAAAAATTAGATTTATTTTTTAGACTTAGTGATGTGTCAAGAAAATAATTGATTGATAATTAAATATTCTTTAATTATCAACCAATCATCTTTTTAACATATATGATCGAATTTATAAAATAAATTTAAAAAATGAAGTAATAAAAAGTGAACTTTCATATCTTATATGTTGATATCATTATGATATTTTGGAGGCTTCGAGGTTAGATCCTCGTGGAATATCCAGCTCTCTCTCCACAGTATGGTTTTCCTATCTGCCATCATCACTTTTTTCAGTCAAGTCCACCACATAATGCATTGGTGGTTTTTTAGGTAATGGCTCACTTCAAAATCATTAAAGGGAAGAGAGAGAGAGAAATGTTCACCAGATCTCATCAACTATTTCCTTACGCTGTGTTTGGTTGGGGAATTTGGGGAGGGATTTGGAAAGAGAAAGGGAAAAAGTATGTGAAACTATGTGAAATATATGCATGATTTATTCACATTTTACCTACCTTTTCCATTTCCTTTTTCAAATCCCTCTCCAAATCTCCCAACCAAACACAGCATTAATCTCATCAATTCTTTAGATATATATCACATTTATTTGTCCTCTACATTTGTTGACCATATGATTCACCAAATCATACACATGAAGTTATAGAGGAAAAATAATAGACAGTTGGAGTAGCAAGTGAAAACAACTATTCATGGTATACACTGCAATATAATTGGAATTTATAAATTCTAGATGGTCAAATTTTTTATTTTTTGACAATCAAGAATTTGATTAGTCTCATTAGTTAGATTTTTCTTTTCAAATTACATTTATTAAAAAAAGAAGTTTAAATTATCTAAACTTTTAACTTCAAAAAATAAAAAGACTAAACTACAATGATTGTGACAGAATAATATGTAGGCATGCACATACATGTCTATGGATGTTCGATGCAGTTGTTCTTGTTGTATCAAATTTTTTAATGAATTCAATTCGATAAAGTCTAAACTATTAAATTCTTTCAGATTGAGTGAACAAGCATTAGATCCTCTGCACTTAGTCAAGTTCAAGCACTTGAATTTGAACCCTGCTGGAATTCCTTCTCATACACCCCTTCCCTCTCTCAACACAAAAATTAAACTAAATTTGCCAAAAAAATGTAAAATATACTAATTTTCATAATTAAAAAAAAATTTATATAGAATAATGTGAAATTAACATTTTTACTATCATGAACCAAAAATGATTTTTTTTAAAAAAAAAAAAACTTTTAATGAATGGATAAATGAGACATATCATTTTATATAAATTTTTTGTATAAAAATTATGTCGATGTAAAATTACTTATTTTCTATTTTTTAGCAAGAGAAGTCAATTTTCCGTGAGTTATATATGCACTTTAGATCAGTGATATAGATTGTCTAATTAATTAGATTCTGTTGTTGCTAGATTGACAAGATAAAAAATAAAAATAAAAAATAGAAAGAGTGGTCCATTGGAGATGAGGAGTGGTCTAAGCTCTCTTGAGCATAGCTTGTAAATTATTTTTATTAATTGCCCGTGGAGCATCCACTTGGAGTTGAAGTAAGAAAATGTTTAAATGTTGTGCCATGGGCTCTGTATACAGAAATAAAATAATATACAGAATAGTTTAAGGCTTTCGATGTCTGTCATGGGATTACACGAATGGAATCTAGCGGCCTCAATCAACTTGCCACAAAGAGAGAGAGAGATAGAGTCATATATATAAATAATTCAAACTCAAAACCCACTTGTATATTTATTTACCTTTGCTTTTTCATGGAGAAATGAGAGCATTGTTTCACAATTAAAGTATCAAAGACGAATAAATTATATTTTATTGAGTGTGTTAGGTGTAATTTTTCGCAAGTTGAAATCTGATAAGTAAAAATAAAAATTAAAACACCTCTTTGCATTTTTTTAAAATTTTTTTTAAGTTATTTTTATCTCATAACGATAAGCATAAATTATATTATACA